CCCCCCCCCCCGCGGCAGAGAACCCAGTCGTCCTGGCACAGAGAAGCAGTAGAGACCGCAGCAAAAGGAGATACTGAGGCAGGGTGTGAGAGTGAAAAGGCCTCGTATTTCAGGGGACTCCCCCTTTGTCACTGTCCCCCTCAGCCTCCTGCCCACCCAGTCCCTGGGGGGACACCAGCATTTCCGGCCCCCCAGTCTTTCATCCTCCACCATGAGATCAGGCCCAGTGGGGCTGGGGACGTCCTGTTCCCTTTCCCCATAGTGGCCATCTTGTGTGCAGGGCGGCCATCTTGGATGTGGGCAGCCATCTTGGCTCCCCCTTTTTGTCCCCCAAGTTCTCATCCGTCTCCACCCTAAGGTTAGTGAAGGAGCTGGGTGGGGGAGAGGCATTCCACAGCCCTGCCCCCCCAATCTGCAGTGGTCATCTTGGCTCACTTATCCTTCCCCAGGGGTTCCTGGCAGCACTGGCGCGGGGGGAAACGTCGCAGCTCCCGACCCCTCACAGCCCACTGGCGGTATCTTGCTGGGAGGCAACCATGCTGAATGTGGGGCAGCCATCTTGGATGCGTGGCAGCCATCTTTGCTCACTCGTCTCTCTCCATCTTGTTGCCCCATTTCCTGTCCCCATTCCCCCAGAATCCTCCAGCAGCCATCTTGCGTCCCTCAACGTTCTCCACCTTGAGCCCACGTCGGGAGGGTCGCTGGCCCCCTGTGGTGGCCATCTTGGGTGTGGGGCGGCTGTCCTGGCTCACTCATCCTTCTCCACCTTGATCTCGAGGAAGGGGTGGAGGTCAGGGCAGAAGGCCTTGTGGGGCGGGGGGAAAGGGGCGGACCTGGAGTCCCCCCCCTCTTCACGCTCCTGGAAGCGGGGGTCGTAGAGGTGGGGGGGCAGGAGCTGGGCCTCGGCGGAGGGCAGGCGCTCGGAGGGCGGCCCGTAGACCCGGTTGGCCTTGGCGCCGTGCTTGGCATTGATGTCCAGGCGGTAGCAGAGCTGGGTGAGGGGGGCGGCACGGAAGCGGGGGGACCGGGCCACCCACACCCCCGGCTCGCTCGGGCTGTCCTCCTCGTCTGACATGAGCTCCTCCGTCACGCCCCGCCACAGCCGCTGCTCCTCAGGGCCCAGCAGCCGCGCCACGCCCGCCCGGTTGGCGAAGAGCTGGGGGGCAAGACGGGGGGTCAGCCCCACCGCGCCGCGAGAGGCCCTCGCCCCGCCCCCTGCCACGGCCAGGCATGGCCGCACCCCACCATGCACCTGTCCCGTCACACCCCCCACGTGGCCCCACTCTCTGCTGTTCACAGCCCCCTGCCCTGCACCTACATAACCCCGATCCACATGCTGTGCCTCCCGCATGGCCCCGCCCCCTGCTGTGCACAACCCCCAACCCTCCTAACATGCACCTCTCATGGCCCCTGCACCCCCCATGGCCCCACTCCCTGCCCCGTCCGGTACCCCACCATGCCAGGCCCCTCACCCGGTAGCGCCGGCTCCGCAGTTTCTTCTCCTCCTTTTCCTTCAGCCCCTTGAAGGGGTTCAGGGAATTGCGATACTCGCGCCGCTTGGTCAGGAAGTACGCCACGCAGGCACCTGGGCATGACAGGGCTCGGTTGGCAGCACGCCAAGGGCACCGAGGGGTCAGGGGTCAGGCAGGAAGCGCCAAGGGGCACAGAGAGGGTGCAGAGGTCAGAGGTCAGGCAAGAAGAACGCCAAGGGGCACACAGAAGGGGCAGAGGTCAGAGGTTGGGCAGGAAGCGCCGAGGGGCACAGAGAGGGGAGAGAGGTTGGACAGGAAGCGCCGAGGGGCACAGAAAGCGGGCAGAGGTCAGGCAGGAAGTGCCAAGGGGCACAGGGAGGGGGCAGAGGTCAGGCAGGAAGCGCGCCTAGGGGCACAGAGAGGGGTCAGAGGTCAGGCAGGAAGTGCCGAGGGGCACAGAGAGGGGGCAGGGGGCAGGGAGGAGGCGCGCCGAGGGGCACAGAGAGGGGGCAGAGGTCGGGCAGGAAGCGTGCCAAGGGACACAAAGAAGGACCAGGGGTCAGAGGTCAGGCAGGAAGCGCGCCAAGGAGCACAGAGAAGGGGCAGAGGTCGGGCAGGAAGCGTGCCAAGGGACACAGAGAGGGGTCAGAGGTCAGGCAGGAAGCGCGCCGAGGGGCACACAGAGGGGGCAGAGGTCAGGCAGGAAGCGCGCCGAGGGGCACACAGAGGAGGCAGAGGTCAGGCAGGAAGCACGCCGAGGGGCACAGAGAGGGGTCAGAGGTCAGGCAGGAAGAACGCCAAGGGGCACGCAGAGGTCGGGCAGGAAGCCTGCCAAGGGACACAAAGAAGGATCAGGGGTCAGAGGTCAGGCAGGAAGCACGCCGAGGGGCACAGAGAGGGGGCAGAGGTCAGGCAGGAAGCGCGCCGAGGGGCACAGAGAGGGGGCAGAGGTCGGGCAGGAAGCATGCTAAGGGACACAAAGAAGGATCAGGGGTCAGAGGTCAGGCAGGAAGCAC